GGTGGGGGTGGAATGGGGTGAGGTGAGGTGGGGGTGGGATGGGGTGGGGAGGGACCAGGTGGAATTGGTCAGCATGTTACCATCTGACAATGAAGCATTGCTCCACTGAGCAAAGAACTTATACTTGCACATAGATTTACAGAGTAACTACGTTTGAGAAAACTTCCTGAATGTGAAAATGTTAGATATAAAGTTCAGAAGTCCATGATAATAGGTACAAGTTGGATGCGACTTTTCCCATTTTTCTTGACAAATGCTGTTGCAGCGATCACAGTAACAGGAAGACACTGCCCACTTGGAGGGTTTTCTGTTCAAATTTTGAACCACACATTTGCTCACAGAATATGTTTGTGAGACAGCTCACAAGCCTACTCTCACGAACAAAGAATAAGCAAAGAAAACAGTCAAGATCCAGAATTCTGGCAAAGTTGAGTGCAGTCATAGCTTTAATGAAATCACACATTTTTAATCATATGTACAAATGCACATTAGCATAAACGTGAAGATAACGGCAAAACATTAATTAGAAATCAGGTTAAATGAGGCACAAAGGAGCGTTTACCAGTAGGTACATTACAGTACATGGGCTTTTAGAACAAAAATGCCCTTTGCTGAAAGAGGTCAGCGATAACACCAAACTGGGGGAAGAGCTTTTGTGATTGGCAAGCTGCGAGCGGAGAGCTTTACCTGATGAAGATGGTCAAGAACCAAGATAAGGAGATCATGCTGAGGATTCCCAGCTTGTCCATCTTGATGTAGAGTTCGGGGAGGTACTCCTTGGTCAAATCTTCAAACACACCTGGTTGAAAAAAACCAAGCATGGAAGCAGCAGATAGGAAAAATATCATTATTTACTAACTTGGCAGTCCGCAGAACTGAAAGAAAGCGTGTATTTTTTCAGAGAATAGCAAGGATGTCCATTTGCTGGAGACCAGGGGACTCACTGCGTGGGTGCAGAGGTTCTTACGTGTTTGGCACGAGGCCTGCTCTGAGCATGTGCGACCAATTGAAATGCACAGTCTAAGCGTGTGTACTGGGTGCGAGCACGAGTCCGATTGAAAACTTGAAAACAGAATGCATTCTCTCACCAAGGCATCTCAGGAAAGTGCTCAGATTTCAAATGCAACAGTTCATTGCTCTCGTACATCATCATTCTCAGTGTAAAACCGTCCAGCAGGAAATCACTATGTTGGGTCTTTTCCTATTGCACGAGATATCTTCTACCGCTAACTGCGTAATTGGGTCATGAGATGATCTAGTCTTGCGATCCTAGTAACATCTATGCCACTGACATGAAATTGAAACAAGGAAGCACAGGAAATACAGATGCAAGCCATCAGCAGCCCAGTATCGCAAATACAAAATTTGTCTTTAGCGGCTCTCTTAGATGATGGGCCCAGTCAGAACCAGTGTGCTTGAGTCCACGTACATGTAGCACAAGATGCTACTTAGCCAACCTTTATGTGCTAAGCAAGGAACAGCCGAGAACCATTCAAGCGTAACAGGCATCCCATGGCATTTTTGCCAGGTAACCATTTTTTGGCACCAAGCGATAGCTTTCTCTGCTTAGAGAGTTTCTTCATGCACAGTTCCATTAGATGCGCCTCCTGCAATCCCTTACCTTGGTCAATGAGGGCGCCCACCACTCGCATGTTGTAGTAGTCCGGCAACAGCCTCTCACAGATCGCCGTTAGTAACCAGAAGGCCTCCTCCTCGTTGGCATAAAGTAGGAGCACGGAGGTCACGATATTCATGGCTTGGCAGTAACCTAAGTATACCATGGAAACATGTAAAATTGTGAAACATGCCTTTTACTCCTATACTTTAAGTGTGCTCATTTGAGAATTTAAGCAATAATTCCTCATCTGGCAATCGGGTACTTGCCACTGAACACAGCATAGTCCACCTCACCGTGTATTTTCATTGATGTCAAGTCCATTGAGTAATGGGAAAAACTGAAATTATCTGAAGGAAAATTGATTTATACTTTGTTGGTACTGGTATTACATTTGAGAATACAAATCCTGGAGCTACTCCTGGAGATACTTCAGGATTTGTTCATTTGTAGAGTCAAAGTATCCAAGAGTGCAGGTCAAAGGTCTGGTCTATTCGGTACCCATACTTCAATTTTTTTTCAACTGTAGGTTAAATAGTGCCTTCTGTTCACTCTCAAATCCTGGACCTCAGAGATGTCAAAGGTCAGGCAAATATTGATGAGGTAGATTACAAAGTTTCCTTTTCTGTTCACTCTGGAAAGTCATATCGCCCAATGCGAGGGTGAAAGGTCATTTGGATATTCGTTACCTATACTGGGGTTCCTGTAGGCGTATGCCGTCAGGACCCGGCGAAGCGCAGCGATGCCCAGTTCCGACTGGAATGCCGGATGCTCCGGGAGGGATCGGTGGAGGTCTCTCTCGATCTCGTCGGTGGCGATGCTCTCCTTGCCTAGGCTCTGCTCAACCAAAGACTGGTAGTAGCCAGCCTGGGTGGCCATCTTGGAGATGAGTAGAAGAAAATGGAGTTAAGTATTGAAGTCTGTTTCAAGTCAAGATGGCAAGAACAGAATAAATAATGTCACAGCATTGGTAAGGCCACAGTAGACAAAGCATCGGACATTCAAGGGTGCCAAAATAAAATTATCCCCAGCTGAACATTCCTGAGACCATCTCAGCTCCCTCTGGAGCACGCAGCTACAATGTAAATGCTGGAATTTCAGGTGAAAATAGCTCAACATTGTCACCATATATCTGCCCTCGCAAGTGCCCGTATACCCCTGGGTGGAGAGAGGCACAGAGGGAAGGATAACTAGCCCAAGGTCGCATTACGTCGTCGTGTGCTCGGCAAAAAGGTCATAAGCACACTTACGCCCTTTTGCCCGGAAGCAAGATCACAGGAGGAAAATGTTCCCGGTAAAAGGGAGTAAGAAACACACTCTCTTTATTTAGTTAAAATGGATTTAATTTACGTCCTTTGGCTGGGAAAATTTTTTAGCAGCCATTATGCTTCCCGGTAAAAGGTCATAAGTGCTTACGACCTTCTTCCAGGCACCAGACAATTTCAAACCCCTTGACCTTCTTATCGGGAGCTACAAACTGTAATCACTAAGCCACACATCTCCAAGGAAATGCAGCAAGTGGCTGGATTTGACCCTATGATCACCTGACGGTGAGTCATGAACTCAAATCACTGGGCCACACCCTCAGACGACGCATCAGGCCAAAACGCACTGGCTTAAATCTTCTGTACGTATTGCTGTGTGTTGCCCCACAGTCTCAAGATAAACGTGTGCTACGCCCAGCATTGAAAGCCCCAAAATTTTCTTGCTAAGCTATATTCAAACCTCATACTTCCTAAAAGTGAAAAATTTTCAGATGGAAATGCGTGGAAAAGAGCAAGAAACTCTGTATCCAAACAACTTTCTTGGCCTAGGGGCGGATGTCACACACAGGATCAACGAACACTCTGGGACAAAGTTAATCTAGATCTGCCCAAATTGAATTGGCCTACTTCGTTGATGGCACCAGAGAACAGCAGCCATATTTCTCCACGTAGACTCTCGGGAATTCCTTTGATGATGAGTTCCTGGGTCTCGACGGTGCGGTACATGCAGACACCCCTGCACCGTGAAAAACAAAACTTGCATAAAATGGAGGAAGACTCTCTGCGCACTTTGGGAACAACCTCAGCAGTAATGCTCAACCTTACTGTCCTCGTCCTTGGAACTCACTCCTGGAAATGTTAATCAACCGTGACGCTGCAGTACACGGCGCTGAAAGATCCAATGCTCAATTCCTTATCACAAATGCTCACCATTTTTGTGACAAAATAAGTATGAGCATGTTTAGACTGAAAACTGAGCCTTAAAAAGAAATCCATTTCTGAGTGGCTCAGAGCAAATGAAATGAAACTCACGCACAGCACATGGATAACAGGGGAGCACAGATTAAAAAAAACCTGCGTGTATAACAAACAGATGCTAAAGTAATTTACCGACAGTGATGACCTACATTCTGGTCTTTTCCACCCAAAACGTATTTATGAACAGGAATACAAGAGTGATGGGCTTGCTTTAACCTGGGATTTTTACTCAAGGGCCAAAGCCAAGAAGATGAAGCTGCAGTGCCATGAGGGGGAGAAGAAGCCTGATCAGCCCCAACTTAAGTTGGGGGGCCAGTTGATAGGCCATCAAGGCACCTGGCATTGATGGAGTGATCGAGAGCGGCTGCATGTCTCCAAGCATAGAGGAAGGACACAGGAGATTAAACTGCCCGGGCTGTAACATCTGGCCAATTACTGCTTTCTGGCATGCCTGGTATGTCCACAGCCAGAGCGCAGCGAAAGTTGCTACACACCGTCCGTTTCACAACCACAAAACCCCTTTGTACCCTATGATCACTGCTGCAATCTGTCGCTGGTAATCTACATCTTTCGAACTTTGTGCACTGAGGTATACGAGATTGAATATTCATGTATTTGTTGCCACTTGGTATGATCTCATGACATCAAATTTAATGCTTGAGCAGTTACTTGCATTACGCTGTGTGCCCTAAATCGATATGTGTCGTCATTGACCTTAATGAGCCCTTTTTTTTTTAGTTATTTGGGAATAAATAGCCCTGTTGTTTACAAGATTTTGTGTTTTGTTTGAATCATTTTTTTTATGGCATTTGTACAAAAGCGTATTTCATGAGATTTCAAGATCACTCCCTGTGATGAAATAGCACATGTTGTTACTTATGAACTTAGCTTTCCAGTAAAAGTCAACATTTTGTTGGCCAGTCTTGGCCAAATTCGTACCAAGTCTTTGAACACTGATGTATTGGAGGGAGGAGAATAAAATTACCACCTTTGCACGGACACTGGAACAGTGTATCAACATTTAAAAAGTTTATTCACAATGGCAAAGGTAGGTCTAATATCGGGGTTTTTCTCTATTTCCTGGTCACAGCAATAATTTGTATTTAGTTGTAAGCAAAAACTACAAGTGTTGCTAGGATATTACTGGCCCCGCTTGTCTGGCTAAGATGCAGGCAGTAATCAGGTATTTTTGGAATGTTTTCTATTATTCGTCTAACTCGGCAGCGACCATCATTGAACACTTTGAAGTTCCAGAGTTGCAACTCCTTCTGCGTCCTTCCTCTATGCTCCAAGTATTAAGAAAAAGCGTGCGTGGGGAGGAAGGGTGAGCCGCTGTCTCCCCCTGAGGGTGGTTAGTCCCCCCCTACCTCACCTGCCGAATTCCTTGAAGTGGATATCCCACAGGTGCATCTTGACCGACTCCTTGATGGAGACCTGGTCCGAGTGACGCCGGTTGAAGAGCGTCAGCAGGGCAGGCTGGAGCTGCACAGCGATGCTGCCGGACGGATCATTGCCTTCATCTATTAATTTAAGAAGAGAGACAAGAGGCCGCATACGAAATTTTTGGCTGTGGCTAGGTACAGCACATGTGGCTATAGAAGCCGCTTACTAGAGGCTGCCATTGGTGCATGTGCCACTCCTGGCCGAAGCCACTCTTTTGGACCAAGGCAGGCAGTGGTACACAGAGCTTGAAAAGATAGGACCAATTTCAAAGAGGCGCTCAACAGGAACATGATGGTTAGCAATGTCGCCTGAAACAGGAAATCGGGTTCAGATGCTGACAGGCAGTAAATTAACACTGGATTTTTAAACCCTAAACAGGTAAAATCCACAATATTCCATGTGATTTACACCAAATCTTGGGGGTAATTTCAATACGTCCCTGCAAACCAAACATCTGTGCTTAGCACATTTTTTTTTGGCTCTGCGAAGTTGGCCTCAAGGCCTATTCTATTCAAAGTGACTCCACGGTAAAAAAAAAAGCACCCACGACCGTAAGAGGTGAGACAAGGTACAGGTGTGACGAAAACTGTGGAAGACGCAGTGACAGGCAACTTGCAAAGCATGGCCTTCTCAACATCAAACCCACTCACACGATGGCAACATAGAAATGAATGCAGTGAGAAAGCTTCAAAAGAAATGAGGACTGTGAGATCAACATACAGTGACAGACAGGGTGATTCAAACGGGGCAAACACGCTGACCTGTCCCTTTTGGTGTGAGCGAGCTGATGACTTTCACAACCTTTTTATCAAACCCTGACTTACCCTCCTCCCCAAAGCACCAAAACTCCAATACCCGTTTGTCACCAAATTATGGTCGATTCAGCACAATTAAGGCTTGGCCAAAGCCACTTTGTGACCAAGGCTTGGCACCATGATTTCACCACAATGCAATGGGTAGCAAATACCTTCCTCCAATCTGGAGGGCACTGCAACTTTCTCCTTGTACAGTCGCAAAAATGACCAGAGGTACACTATTTATAAAATGGAAATACTCCTTGCTTTACCATGTTTGTCCGACTGAAGTAAGCGTGAGGTTTCCAAGAAGAAAGCAAGATGACAGGGTCAAACACAAGCAAAGAGAGAGAGAGACAAGGGGTGATGACAGAGTCAGGGAGCATCTCACCAATGAGTGTTGCAGCAAAAATATCACTCTGCGACCGTGTAAAAGAGTTTCAAAATCGCAATGGCGTAGCAGCAAATGTTGGACAAAACTTGAACAAATGAAAATTAATGGTCTACATTTGCAAAGTCCAATTTTGAAAAGGACCGTCATTGAATTATCTTGTTATAAAAGAAGCGAATGAAAAGCGTGGGAAAGCAAAGCAGGAGTGAGTAGTCATTAGGTGCCCTTTTATAGGGTTGAACAGCGCCCCCTGTAGACAACACACAAAAGCCCTTGAACCGGGGAGATCCGTGGTTGCCCATACCTTGGCTTTATCTGGGGTATGCCTTCAAGAGTCAGTTTCATCATTTTAATTCTCTAAGTTGAGCCCTCTGGTTCAGAGTGACTCAATTTTATGTAGACAGGAACATATGGCTGTTTAATAATGTAAGAGAGCTTTAGAGCTTTGAGCTTTTAGAGCTTAGAGCTTTTTGTATGGTTTGTAGGCAAATGTTGGATATTGTATCTATGGTAGGTTCTCAGACAAAGCCAAAGTGAGAGTCAGAGCCACAGATTGGAAAATGGCCCAAGCATGTGATGGTTCTGCTGCCTGAATCTGAACGTGAATTTCTGGGTTATATTGAGACGCTGAACTTGTGAGTTGGACTTTTTGAGTGTAAACTACCTGGGAACATCTCAATGGCTGGGTTCAGACAGAGGTACTTGTTAGTTGGCAAACAGGGTGACAAACTGAGAGGGGAATCTGTTACTAGATAGTGTAAGAAATGTAGACAGTGCAAAAAATAGACAGAAAATGAGATAAATATAACGTGAGTGGATGTGAAAACATCTGGCAGAGGTGACCTACAATTTTCGAGGGATTAATCAAAGTTTCCTTGCAAAGAAAAGTTACATTTCATAAGAATCCCTGACTTTTTGGGTCAGGCAATTTGCAAAATAATTGCAGGTAATTCTGACAAATCCAAAGGTGACTAAAAAGAATAAATTGTAATATTTCTGGGAAGGTCAAGAGTGAATAAGCAATAAAACCGATGGAAAAATCCTATAAATTGATCTATGACAGGAAAAAAAACCCAGATTCTATAAATTGCCTTATACGTGGACATTGTCAGGAATAAAGGGATAGCTAACAAGAAGTGGAAACTGAAAAATTTCCACATGCAAGCTTTCAAAACAAGACTTAGGAAATAAGGAAACGTAAATGAACTTAGAAGGCATGTTTTCCACTTACTGTTAGTATTAACTAGATCATCGCTTAGAACTGTGTTGTAGTAGGACATGTGGTCTACAAACGTAACAAGAACAAACACGTAAGGAATCAGTGGGGGACTGCATGTGTTGCCTGCACATGCATATCAGGAACTTTCACATGCGCACAGCATGCAGTTACATGAGCGAACTAGTATCACAGACAATTGGCACAAACTACGGTTGGGAGTGCAATTGGCCTATCGTCGACAGAAGGATTTCACATTAGCGCCTTCTGCGCATATCCGCATCGAAACCGAGGCTCTCTGTGTTGAGCGTAGTCGCGCACGCCCGCGGAGTCAACATAGTACATGCAGTATCCGGTTCGTATGTGTGATGTCACATCAGTTTAAACCACGCCAACTGCACATGCAGATACACGTCCATCACAGGTACGTTAGTTCGTGGTAAATTGCCGTTATTTTTTTCTTTTTATTTCACATGTCGAGTCATCCTGAAAGACTCTTCCACAAAAATGTGCAGCCTGAGAAGTCTGAATTTAACATACGTTTGTGTATTTGTGTCTTAACTCCTTACTTTCAATCATCTGATCGAATTAAGAACTGAAGCTGACACATACAGCCTCGTTTTCAAACGCGGAAGTGCGCAGATCGACGCTAAAAACGTCGTATTGGGATCCCTCTATGGCGAGTTGGCCCCGCCCTTTGGACAAACTGGAACATGCGACCTTGTGTGGAATGCACAATCTGAGTCACCACTGCCGACATCAGCGGGTTCCGCACATACTCTCAAAGCGTTTGCTGTACAAACCCGCCCAGCAATCCAAAGTTGTCTCACTATGTACCATACACGACGTATGAACTGCATTACTATGTAACACCCCTCTAGACGAATCATGCGCGGCAGAGTTACTACCGAGCATGAAACCCGTGCAGTGCATCCTGTTGATTGCATTTGCGCATTGCATGTCAACAAGCAAGCCCGGTGGATGCACGTGCCGCCAGCGGATCGCATGTGTTTGGACTTTGTTCTGCTTGTTCGTGGTCTGGAAAATCACATGATATTCACCAGGGGACCCCCTGCCTCAAGGATAACTGGGCCACATGTACAAGGATACGTTCACACTAGGACCCACACCAAAGGGAAGTGACTTGCATATCTGTTCATTTGTCAGGCTGACAGAAAATTCCAAGTGATTTGACTAATGCTAATCAACAGCAATAGGTCAATCGCATCAAGGGCACAGAATTTGTATCTGCAAGGGAAAGGGGGGAGGTTGGGTTGATGTTGAAAATGACATTCAGCAGGCAAGAAATACCGGTATACAGATAACTTATTAGTAGCTCTACGGGTGCTGTTTACTTCAACATCCACCTTGTCCACCGTACTCCTTGCTAGTGTACTACATTAACTGACTAGTATCATGCATGGTGGAGCTGGCATACAAAGGGACAATGGTACAACAGGTGTACTGATATCAACCTCTGAAATTGTTTACGTTTGCACGTCTTATGACGGTGAGCTACATGTAGGGCAGGATCCTTCAAGTTCCCTGGGAAAGTGCATGGGTGAACACAGTGTGAGGTCATTCTATATTGGGTCTTTGGCCTTTTTTGTGTTTGATACATAAATGGCAGGGGGGGGGAGATTGTTTTAGCACACCTACTCCAGGATTAAAAGTGGATGGGACAGCTATACGTGCGCGCGATAGTCTGTCCTATCAGAGCAGCCATACACCAAGCACCAAGCTGGCTCATTCTTGCAAGGAAAGTTCACAGATTATGTGTCGGCATTTTGCGGGTTAAAGGTCTTGGGGACAATCAGATTGAGACCAACGGAACAAAGTTAAGGATTAACAGACGCAGAAAATGCAGATACAGAGGTTATTCAAGGAGGACTCTGGAACGGTTTATAGCATTGTATTTAATAAAAAAATGCTGAACTTCCCAAAAATTTCCATCAGAAATGTTATTAAATTTTCCAATGGCATTCAATAGCAGCCAATTAAGTCCATTTTGGTCTGATTTTTTGTTTTATCTTGGAACCAACCTGCTCAAAGGCATATGGTAGGTTTGCTGTAACAAATTGTACCAAAATGCATTCATTTGACAAACTGAGCCTGGAATATTTCCAGGTCACACAAATGGGTTCTGTACTTCGCCTAATTCCAAAATAGAATTGCAAATGGTCACTGATAAAGTTCCGGATATTGAATTTAATGAAATGATGTTGCATTTGATAGTGTCCCCCATCCAATTGGATGCTGGTGTTGTATCAGGCATTGTTCCCCACCTGATTGTACTCTGGTGTTGTATTGGATATTGCTCCATATCTGACTGAATTATAGTGACGTATTGGACGTTATTGCCTACCTGATTTAATGCTGGCATTGCTGCCAGTGCTGCCGAGGCTCCCTAGGCTGCTGCTGATTTGTGCCAGAGGCCTGTGGTTGGCTGGCATCTCAATCAAGCTGGTGCTGCTGCTGGAACTGACCGACAGGCTGTCGCTTCGATGCCTACCCAAAAAAAAAATAAAAAATTCTTGTTCCTTCTTAATCTTCCAGTTTTGGCTTAAGAAAATGTCAAGAAGGATTCTTCTTGTTAACTTAGTTCAGAAGGCACCTGCTTTGTACAATTTGCCCAGGTCTCCACTTTATCAATAATGCTTTGAACTCTTCTAAACCTCAAAATACATCTACTGTAGGAAGTTTTCCTCAGTGCAATGAAAGACCGGTTAGAAAGACTGGTGACTGAATAAGATGATTCAATAACCAGCAGTCAATCATTCATTCTTTCCATCAGTGTGTTCTGATCTGGTTCAGAACAAAGTCCCACTTGTTCTTGAAGTCCTTTGCTTGAAGACGATCATCACACCGTACCGTCATAAGTATCTACATGTACTGTTTTCTCACTTCTTTCCATTCAAATGAGATCTTTCTATGCTATGGACAGAGCCGTTTCGAAGTGTATTAGGCAACCATGCAAAGGTCGACGAGCCTCCTTCAAGGTCATTTTACCTTGTGTTTTCAGTGGTTTTGGAGAGGAAATCTGCAATGTGGCTGACCAAGAAATCTCTGTCCTTCAGCGATGCAAACAGGATGGTCATCTTAAATGAGAAAAAAAATTAGTCACACCAAAAAATTCTTAATCTAAGTGAACAGCACAGTCAGAAATTGCATTTCAACTCTGCCTAAAATATGCCAAAGTGTCATTCACGACCACTCAATTTCTTCAAAAATGTTAAAAAATGCTACAAATTTTTCTTCCAAGAATTCCCTTGGTTTGGACACACTGATGACTTTATAAATCATCCAAACACACTCCACTATAATTCAGGTAGGCCTAACAACACTTCAAAAGGACAACTTTAGGACTTGACTCACTCGATGTTAACCCTAACCGTCATCAATTCCTTTCATCTGTGGCGGGGGGATTCAGGGCTGTGAAGACTTATGGAGATCAGGGGTTACCTTTGACCTTGTCGACACGTGCAGTCCGTTCTGGATCACCGATGAATTCTCCACCTTTTCGATGACCGTGACTTCACGCATTGGGATCACGACGTACACAAGATTCTTGAGCTGCAAGTGATCACAGAAAAAAATGAAAAAGAGAACAGCGATGCATGTTTCGTCGTGACAACTGTCAAAAGTGTGGATGGTGCTGATCCTGTGTCCCAATAGAGGATATGCTTTCGTTTTTCTCGACGTTTATTTTTAATACCCATCAAGAGCAATACGGTGCATGTCTGCTTGGACCCAGAGTCGCAAGTGGTGATGAGGCAGCATTGTCAATGTTGGGTCCATCAAAAGTCCCTGCGAAACCATCACAAGTCATCCAGTCTTCAGCCGGGTCACAAGTTATTCCACTGAACTGGGACCAAAATCATTGGTCGTGTTATTTAAAGACTGGTCTTGAACAGGCTTGTGACTGGACTCGCGGAGAGACTTGCAATGCACTTGACTACAACAATGAGAGGAACGGTTGCCAATGATTGGCTAATTTTGAAAAAAATAATATTAGACACCATCAGTTCAACTTTATATCAAATTCATGAATATCTCAGTCTCCCTATTCAACAACGTACAACTTGATAGTACATTAACATTTGATACAAGACAGTGTAATCAATATTATTTGGTCATGCGTCTGTGTGCATGCGGCTTGCAACACGTGCCAATTGAACAATTTGCACGAGGAATGTTCCATAAAATGGACCTGGCTTTCGGGCAAATGGAAGTAAAATTCTAGAACAAAATCGTTGGAAACATCATCTATTTATCAATGGGTGTGGCTAGGGCATTAGTTGGGTCCATTCTCCTGTGCTGGTCTTAAACGCAAATTTAAGACTGGCCAAGTACGTATTTATTCCTTTATTTCAATCACAACTATTAATAAAATGAATTTCTGAGATTACAGCAACACTAGGTTTGAATTTCAATTTGTTGTAACCCCAACAATAGCATCCCTACAAAATCCTCATTCACCCCAAAAGATGGCAGCATTTCAGTCACTCTGGCTACATCCTGCCATTACACATACAGCTATGGGACAGAGCCATAGTCGCTCATTAGTGGCTTCCATTGACAGAGTTATGAGCCAGGTACATGTATATTGGGCACAGCCTTAAAGACTGCTGGGGTTGAGCACTTACTCGGCTGGCAAAGCACATGTAGTTACGTGACAGGTAGAGGATGCCGTTGACGTGGGTCTTGTTGTAGGGTGTCCAGAGGGTGCAGGGGACGTGACCGTCCAGCTTCTCCGAGGTTGGAAGACGGAACACCTGCCTGTTGGGAGAGGTGTGGACAAATGTCTCGGTTACAGGTGCATTTCTATGGTGCATTAGATTGGGGTTGAAAATGGGTTACCTCAATCACTAAAAAAACCCATAAAACCAACAGCAAGACATTTGCAGTGATTGAGTGAAAACCAAAACCGAGACATTTGCTACCATTCAGTGAAGCTGTAAACACCAAGCAAAATTTAGATTATTGAAAGTTACATTTTTTGTTGTGCAGGTTATGGACTTTCGTGAGATCAAATCTGAGGAACTACCGATGTGAAGATGTGTCAGATTTTGGACATTCAGTCCTGGGTCTTTGAGGCTGTCCAAATGACGAGTTTGAAAGACAAAACAAATTTATATTCCACTTTTTTTTCTAAATATGCTAAAAATACACTTAAACAGGAAATCAATTAATTTGTGCAAAATGTAGCCTGTTCATGTCTTCTCTTAATAATATTTCAATGCTTTAATTCCTAAAGAATTTAAATCATTCAAACAAAATTCATTAATTTGATTAGATGTTTGTGGAATTGGCGTCATTGGGCTTTTCAAACGAAACTCTTAAATTTGTTTTGTTCACCCACCTGTAGGCTTCACTCCGAAGCCTGGCATCCAGATCTCTCTTCAGAGACGAGACTTTCTTCTTCTTTTTACTGAAATGATAATGATCCAGGTTCCCCCCACCTTGTATGAGTCACTCGGCTCAAGTAAAATAGGTGCCATTCACAAAAACAGTGTAGTTGACAGAAGAGACGTGTATCGGTGTTGTATTCAAGTCCATCACAAGTCCCTGCTAGTCCATCACAAAATCATCCAGTCTTAAGCCAAATAACAAGCTATTCAAATGAGCTGTGACAAAAGGATTTTTTGTCACTGTTCACCCCGTTAGTTACTCGAGGGGACTTGTGATGGACTTGACACCAAAACTGATGTGTATGATACTTTGGATAGTACTTGAGACAACCTTTAGCATAACTAGTGCACCATACATGTCAAGGAGTAGTGAAGCACTTGAGCCTCCATTACCTGATTTTGGTTATCGGTGGGAGGTCCTTGTCCTGTTCGAAGCCCTCCTCCGACAGCAGCTGCCTCATGGCCAGGTTGGCCAGCTGCTCCATCAAACTGAAGGTCTCGATGGGGCGGACAAACATGGAGAAGTAATAGTCCTGGTCCCGCGTCGACAGCTTGATGCTCTCTGGGAAGATGACAGCGTTGCTCTTCTCCAGGTGCTGCTCGTGGAAAGGCGGCAGAAGAAGTGTCAAGGAAAACAACAGTGAAATGGTGTTTCTTATAGTGCCCTACATGTATCAACATGTACCTGTCATGAGAACAGGTATACACAGTTTGGACAGGCAAAATAATAATTGATAGACACTATTTTTGACAGGTGGAAATAATTTTGGACTGACAAAACAACTTTGGACAGGTAAAAACAAATTTGGACGGGCGAATAAAATATCAAACAGGCAAAACAACTTTGGACAGGCAACAACTTAAGCAGGCAAGTGTTGCTTCCAGAAACTTAACACCCCCTCCTTTTTACGTAGCCCAAATATTTCACACTGGTGAATAGATCCTTATATGTGACTGGTTTAGAAAAATGGGTAACAAGTTGCCAGATTCAGGTTATCAGTTTTTGACATGGCTGGATTGAGTACGTCAAAAGCTACAATTAGATAAAGGAATGACCCCTAGAGTGCGCTGCATTCCAGAGGTATTTAGACATTTGTATATCCACACTTTCGAATTCAATAAAAGCACTTTTTGAGAAAAAGCTCAGAAAGTGTAGCACTTGGAAACACGATCAATTTTTCATCTGTATTGATCAGTATTGTATCAGTACCCTAATTCTGAAAACACAAAAATCACATTTTTGAAGACATTTTGCCCTCTCCAAATAGAACAGGCCATATTATATTTTGGAATTGCACAACTTATTACCCTCTTTTGCAGAGCGGGTCACATATTACCTTCCAAAATATTGGGTATGATGGTATGGGGGGTCAGACAGTAACAAAGGTCTTTGATTGAAAAAGCATGGCTGAAAATTGACACGCACTCTTGTAATCTTTCTTGGCAGTTGACAGACAACTATTCCAATGCTACATGTCCAATCGTGTGTCAGATATATTAATACTTGGCATGGTTGCCTCTTGCTCACAAATGGTAATGTGGGGTAACAGTGTTACACAAGCTTATGACTCTAATATGAAACGGTGATGTTACGGACATGAAAAATTGATGAATTTCATTGGTCGGCAGTATACATCCATTTGAAAATGGCCTGTTTTTTTTGGGGGGGGGGTAGGTGCTTTGATTACACCTTAAACCCTCCTGTGCTGAAGTGACTCTTTGGGTCAATTACTCTGCTGAACACGATGCACAGCTGTGGCATTTTGTACTCTGCACCAACTATCCAACACAGGAATATCAGATTGCACTTTTGTGCTGTCCAACAACTGTGCCTCACTGTTTTATGTGCATAAATTGTGCAGTAAACCAACTGCAGTGAAGAGGACACAGCAACCGACTGTATGCACATTGAACCTGTGCATATTTGTGTTCCACATAGAAAACACATGCAGAAGAGTGACTGTAGGAATTCATGCATATCTGTGCTGTTACGCCATAGGAGGGTTAAAGAAACGTTGCTAGACCATGCGATTCATGGCACATGCTAAGTGTTAAATAACAGTGTAATTAGTTAACACTTATTCATTTTGCAGTGTAATAATAATAATAATTTATTCATTCATAAAGCGCAAATTTCATAAAGATATGTTCAAATGCGCTGTAAAATGAAGACATTAAGCATGGAACAATGAACACATTCAAACATGGTTGAGCCGATGGCATACAAGGACGCCTCGGGCAGCCGCCAAACGACCCATATTCACCAAAATCAGTAAAGAGGAGACAGTAAGAAGCAGTTACAGTTTTAGAGGTAGGAGGAAAACCCCAGAGGAATGTTCTAGGTAAAACCTACGGAGTCAGGTAGGGCCTGAACACCCAATCCATATGTGGACGGGCCGGGAATCGAACCTGGGACCACAGGGGTGGAAGGCGAGGAAAGAACTACCTTGCCAACCTGACTCCCCGTGTACAAATTACACTAAACAGCAACTTGTAATTCGTACCGTGACATCTGTCCATCGTATGGATAGTCTTGCCTCTGTGCCCATCAGAAACGAGTAGAAGTAGAGATGGTTGACGCTGAGATACATCCAGCCCTGCCGGGGAACCTTACCCTTCCAGTAGCTGCAGGAGTAGTCTGTTGAGAGAGGCGGGAGACAAGACTCACACAGAGGCTGACACGACAGAGAAATAGGTTGAAGAACAGTCGACATAAGACAGATAAGGCAAATTGTTTGACAAACTTACAGTTGACGAGCTTCTCGTCCTCTGGCACTTTGAAGAGCCGGTGCCACTTTTCACACGCAGACTTGAAGGCTTTGCTTTCCTCATCAACTGCAAGTTGCAAAATAGTTTTGAAGGTAAGAATATAAACACAGTATTACCTTCAGGAAACAAATAGCCCTAAACGTGTCACAGACTCTATGGAGCTTCTTGAATAATTTGCAAAAAAACAAATACGACATACATGCAATTATATCACTTATGAAACTGGTCAATATTTTCCTTGCCTATTAAAAAGCTTGATATGTAACAGTGCAGATATATTGACTGGCAATGAGGTCACTAGTGCATGTCTATATCCCAAAGGGTATGATGACAAGAGGCTTGATGGTATTTCTCTAGGTCAAAAGCCAAAGGAAAACTGGACCATCTTTTGGTCACTGACAGGACCAAGAGAGGCACAGACTTGCCAACCGGTGATCCCCCGTGTGACCACACTTTAGCCAACCAGAATAAAAAACTGCCAAGGAACGCTCGTCTCCCATGCCGGTCACCATTTCTAGAACCTATTATTCCCCCATGATATGCTCGCGTCACATATTATGTATGTTCACAACCTTTGGCATTTGGCAGGACTTTGTCACCATCTTGCCTTGTGCTCTTGTCTTGCCATTTCATTGACTGCTGTTTTTACAGCGATTGCAATTCCTCCAGTTATATCCCCCCTCAGGCCAGTCAATATATAGTATATCTCCTTTAACCGTGCTAGGAAAGGCACTGTTATGCCTACCTTCCTTTGGGCCCTCATCTGCCGTTTCAATCACGGCCACAAGACTTTCGATTTTACACTTGACAAACTCTGTGATGTCCTCTTCGGCCTCAAAGGTGCCTGCAATAGAATTGCAAAAGACGTTATCACCAGTGTTCACTAACTTGTGCAGGATGCATGTCGAGTTCACACTTTATAACTTGTACTGCCTCAAATCGCTCATTTTGGACTTGAATCCAGGCCCCTTACTTACAGTGCAGACATCTTGACCACTCGGCCAGCTGGCTTTTGCTTCAAATTTTGCTGCAAATATGCCAAGACTGCTTGGGACAGTATGTATCACCTGAAGCCATGGCTAGGAGAGGCTTCAACCAGTGGCTTCCAAAGATGTCCATGTAACTCCTAGCCATATCCGAGTCAATTGTAGCACAGCCATAGCTCACCTAATGTCTCCATGAGGTTCTGCTCTAGCCATTCCCAGTGCACAAAGATTTCCCTCTTGTGGACGGCGGTGGCGACAGCTGTAGTCATGGTTGGGACAGAAAACAAAGCTTCAATGACAATGTACAGGTGTATGTGTACACGGGCACGTTCAGGAGTAGGGACCATTTGTAATGGAATGACATGGAATACATTTTGCAAAGACTGGGTGGTAATATGACTCATTGGTGCAGTTACATGTATTTCAAAAACCTGTGTCTTTTTATAAGCAAGCATGTGAAGTGAACATTGCTCACAGCGTGTACCTGTAGGATAAAATAATGACATGAAGCTGTCATTCAGCGGTATCTACACTGTAACAATTTTTTTCTAAGCTGCAACCATGCACTGTACTATACACCTGTACATGTACAGTACACTCACTATTTCTAATGGTCTCTATTGCATCAGTACCACAGCAAGTAAATGTACATGCAGGTACATTGTATTTACCAAAAAATAGAAATTACGGGCTCCCAAAGGACCTTTCCCCATAAACTAACCACAGGCGCATGCACATTACTACCACTGGTTGGCAAAGTTGTTTCAATATACATGTATGACGTAGCAGTACAAATCTCCATGCGCGTGCGACTACATTGTATGAGCACATGGGTAATTACAGAATTTAGGGGTCCAGTTTTTTGGGGTTTTTTCGTGGCCCTTTCACATCTGACATATGATTTTGTAAGTTCAGTAGATATTTTCTAATTTAATTTCCAAGAGTGATGAATTCATGCAAATTACATGTACTGTACCTGCCAAACAAATAGTAATATATGTAGTTTGAAATCGATTCCGGTGATATTTCCATGTCAAAAAACAAAGGTCAGATGTAAACAGGGACACAAAAATATCACACTTTTGGAACCCTAATTCCTGGAATTACCCACATACATGTACATGCCATTTCTGTACATGCTCTAGTAAACTTTCATATGAATGCCAACATTAAAGACAAGGAATTGTTACTTTTCAACTTTGGGTCACTGAAAACTTCTCTTACCGTAGTTTCAAGAAAAGCGTGCTGAAGTATCGGATAAAGGCTGTAATACGGTTTTTTGTACTTGTCACAGTCCTGAATCCTCCACACCAAAGGTGAAAGAACGGCCAACAATGTCTTGAACGTAAAAATTCACACTAGGCACATGTGGAACAATGCAGCAGACACGACAAACTCAAATTTGCAGCGATTGAAATGTATTGAGGCTTTGCGGGGTAGCCATCTTGCAGGGCAGTTCTTTAGTTCCATAGGGAAATCTCCTACATGTACATGTATGTACACACCTTGTGGAACAAAAGCACTAGCCTACAAGATGGCAGCCATGCAAACCCTCTATACAGTACATGGGTGGAAGGTATTGAAAGGACGCATTAGTATCATCCTTTGAGGATCTCAGGAAAGGCAACTTCTGCTTTTTGAGTTTATAAGAACCGGAAACAATTATTGGATCACACAGGGTAGTTACAAGTTGCAGCCTCAAGGCTGGTGGACACTCAGCAGGAAGGCAAGCAAGAATACAAGTTTTTGACATCAGATTTGCAAAAGGTAAACACATTTCAACAAAGGTGAAATCTGACAAACATAGTGCGATGTGAAATTCACTTCACTTATCATTTGCCTGAAGAACATGTACATGTATGTACGTGTACATGAACCGGCCTTTATGAGTTTCCCGTGGGCATTCATACATGTACGTACTGTAGCTAACTTCCGAGCTGGGGGTCTGATGAAGGATGCGGTACGGCAGAGCCTTGGAGTCTAACACCGAGTCCAGCGTGCCGATGAACAGTGATGTCAGACCTCCACCCCCATGGCCCTTGCGACGCTGCAGGACGAAGTAGGGATTGGCGCGCTCAGTGATCCTGCAGAGAGGAAAATACAAGTTAAGATGCTTTTACCACGCGCCTGCCTAAAAGCAGTCCTGATTATAATCAATACTGCAAAGCCACAATCATACTTAGAACGACTCACTAATAAGCTCCAGGAAGATGATCTTTATGTTCCTTTAGGGGTGTTCTGTACTTCCAGAACTGTAAGGTTTATATACGGTAACTTTTCAGACAGCAATGTACAAACTCCCATAAACACATTTGGGCTGTTTTGATTTTGCCAACTTACACGTACATGTACCATTCCTTTCCTTTTGTTTTCCTGTCACCCATAGATGAAAGCTGCACTGTGATTGGTCCAATTTGCTTCCATTCCAATGACCAATCATAGCTCAGCTTTCATTTGGATAGGGTCAGGAAAACAAAAGGAAAGACAGGTGCTTTGTTGTGATTGGTCAAGCTATCACACAGCTAACAGTTATTGAGAGTACATGCTATCATGCAACAAGTTAATCACGCTCCTGGGGTTGGGTCCGAGTTGACTCAGGGTGGGTCCGAGTTGGTCGTAGGTCCGAATCAGTATTGGGTCCGAGTTGGCGTGGGTCCGAGTTGGTCCTGGGTCCGAGTTGGCATGGGTCCGTCTTGGAATGGGTCCGAGTTGGTTTGGGTCCGAGTTGACCTGATCCCGTAGGCATGACAGGGTCCCCACTCATGTGAGTCATGACTCACACAATTCCCATGATTTCGTAGAATGTTTTTTTAAAGAAGCTAAACTAAAACCAGGCCCCACCCCTTTGAACTTAACAAGATTAAGTTTTGGGTCGTCATCATTCATAGAAAACCAATATCAGATCATTGATAGACAGAACTACATGTAGAACTCACCATCATGGCCACTGACAAGAACACTGTCGAAGCATGATTTTTCACTGCTGTCTTGTTACGGTTTTATAACCATGCAAAATACTTACCACAAAGCATTTGCCAGCAGAACTTCCTCTGGCCTCACCCACATCTTTTCATTGATTCGTTGCCAAATAGAGTGAGCAACTTCAGGAAATTTGAGGGGTTTCTTGTCGACAACACGAAGTCGCAGCGTACTCACTGACCTTCCAAGTGATCCTACTAGCCCGGCCCTGTAGATCACTATGATGTAAAGAGTCGGTTTCCAGACCTGATACGTGTGGACTGCCGGCAATAACAATTAATAGGTTACGGCTGGCAGCAACATACAGGTGTATCAGCAACATACAGGTCTATGGGACTTAATACAGCCTCTACTTAGCGGCTTCCTCAAGTACGCGCGCTTATCATATTGAGCTAGTCGTAGCCAGAATAATTTAGACATGGGCATTGGTGTTTAAATGTAGCTCTAAGCTTGCCGAGTAATTTCCTACACGCACCGTATGCTCCACAGAGAATCACTAATATCAGGAATAACAACAGAACACCACAAGAATATCCGAGTATTTGGCTTATATCGAATCCGTTTCTCTGGTAACTACTTCATGAAAAAGAAGTAGCAAGTCCCTTTAACAACGTCTGCTACCAAATCACCCCCTCTTTCCTAGCCCTAGCATTTGTAGCAAGTGCGGAGTGCCAGACTAATCCATTGGACCAAGATGGCGGCGCCCAGTGGGGGGACTGTCTCTCGCAGTTTGAAGAAATTGGGTGCATTCGTCTTGACCAGATTCCCTTTTCTGAGTGCTGTTATATTTGTTCTGCTCTGCAATGAAAGGGAGAGAAATGGCAGGTAAGAGGAAATTATTAAAATGCATCATTGATCATTTGATGGAATGAAAACTTCGTCTTCAACTTCAAGGAAGTTTGATACAGTGAGAACAGACATCATTCATGGACATGAAACTTGAACATGTTGAAAGAGCTGCGCTATTTGGATCAGTTTACGGCTGGGGCGGGGGTGGACTCAGCCCCCAAAGAACTTGCCTTTCCCATGTTCCTAACACCTGATTTTTATTTTTTAATTTTTTAAAAGTTTATTTATTACTATAGCCTAGTTCTTTGTTGTCAAACAGATTTAGGCCTAGCCTAGAGTCTCACACTCTTTAGCACACATGCATGTAACATTTCAACGTATTATTTTTACAGTCATTAGAAGCAGAGGTCCAGCACATGCCAGCCTGCGTTTGTTGAGCATGGCAATTGAAAAGTTTAATTTTTGGCAGACTGTCTCGGAAAAAGAGTAGGCCTATGCTTGATTTTCACAAAAGTGGTGTCAAAATGACTGCAAAGACTGAAACACACCTACGTTTAGGCTTTGCTCATGAAAAAAAGCACTGCATAAATATTAGCAAAATGTTAGGGCAGATATCACCCCTCCCATTAAAGTCAAATGTTAAATAAGCACTAACATGCCCATGACTGTTTTTTGGGACTTAAAAATTGTTTACTGTCACAAATCTTAGTCAGGTTCTGTGCCACCACTGTTCAGATTCTCGAGACAGAAATGAGACCATTCTAATATTACATCCTTCACTGAACTGACTTGGAATAACCCAGTAACAAGTGTTATGTTCCTCCTTTATTTTGTCTGCAGGCCTGAAGGGTATCCCCATCTGGTCATCTACCTCCACGTCGCTCTGCTGATGCTAGAGGGCAGCATGATGTCCTTTGCCACCCAGAGGTCCCTGTTTGCCCTGATGTGTGCCGTACAGATGACCGTCATGACGCTAGTCACACACACCAGTCCCTCATTGCGATTCAAGCCGTGGCTAATGGTAAGATTCGGATCTCAGGATCTGATCTCTCCATCTGAACAGTGACGGCTGCTTGCATTTGCCATTTTCATATGAACCGTGTACATGTATGCTTTGTGGGATGCCTTTAGGCCAGCTTTTTAAAATTTTATTACAAGCACAAACAGGGCATGAGATTTGGCTCAATGGAAAAAACTCTGAGATCCACTTTTGCCCGACAGTTTACTGATCCGAGGTCAGAGGAGAAAAGAATTGAATTTGGTCCATTATTTGTTTAAAAATAAAATTGCATTATTTGGAGTCAGTGGGTTCATAATTCAACGAGTAAAAAATGTTGGCCTGATAGAGTACTTCAGTGTGGCTGGGTTGCATTCTGTGATGTGATTACATTTGGTAGTAAGGGCTTGCTGTAGTTCTAGAGCATTCTGAATTGCTACTGAGCTAGTGACTTTGTTGAGGACTGAATGACTTGTAAAGGACTTGCTGGGACTTGTGATGGACTCACCTACAATACCAGTCCAGCACAAGCCAACTCTTAATTTAAGTCTCAAGCTATTTAAAGGACTTGTGACAAGTGTTCCTTTGTCATTGTTCACCTAGTTACTGTTGATCGATCTTGTTGAGCGATATGTGATGGACTTGTTTACAACAAAGACTAGGTAAAGGAACAAGTCATATTGATTATTGTTACATTTTATTCTAAGGTCCGCATGATGTCACGAGACGTGGGCGTGATTGGGTCCTACCTGATCCTGGCCAGCCGCACCCACGAGGAGCTGAGTCGACGCTACCGATTGGCCAGGCTCTATCCCCTGGGGCGGAGCCTCCTTGCCTCGTATTTCATCGTCCTGGCCTATCAAGTGAACCGGGAGGCTCTGGAGCGGCAGGCCTTCCTCCAGCACATCCCCGGAGGAATCGTGTCAGTCTCGGCATTTTGCGGTGCCAGCATGCTCTCCAGCATGATGTTCCTCTCCCAGTACAAAGCCAAGACGTCCGTCCGCGTTCTCTTGGCCCTCCTGCTGGTCTCTACGCTGACGGTGGACTTGGATTTTGCGTACTGGAAGCGGCAGCGAGTGGAGTTTTGGAACCAGGTGACAATCCTGCTGAATGACGCGGGGATGCTGGGAATGCTGCTACTGCTCGCGACATAACCCCGACCCACCAGATCCTTCAAAATCAGGAAGATTTGTGGATTCGGGGGGATTTTTGGGGGTATTTTGCAGGAAGGTGTAAGTGACCAGCCTGTCAACATTGAGCATGATGCCTTGAAAAGTGCAACGACTGTGCTGTTGGTTGCCTACTGTAGTTAAGGATCTAGAAGGAATTGGCAGTGTTCCAAGTAAAAACAGAAAGGTCTTCAGGTCTTGGTACCGCTAGAACTCTGGGTGGATCATGGTCACGAGGATGGGAGAGCATCAGAAATCCGGGACAGCTTCGAATGTTTGTGAGATAAGTGAAACATTGACAAACAGCTCTCAAACCTTCATGTAGGAACTGCACAAGGTTTGTGACCATAAAGGCCGGTATTCTCTCCATTTGACATAAGAAACTGTCGAGGCTTACAAAATACAAGTATGTGAAGTCAACTAAACTTTGTATTGGTGCTGGAAATTGACCAGCTTTGCAGTGACTATGCAATAAGAACCTCTCTCTATCCCGAACAGTCCCAAATCCTCTGATTTCAATGATTTGACATACACCCTATGGGGTTAGGGTTGTTAAATATTTATAAGATTGCATGTGGAAGTAGAATTCGGCATAATTTAAAATGTAATATTTGCTCATTTTAGGAAGGAAATGGTGACTAGTAACTAACCAAGCAACACAAGAAAAGTTGAAATCAGTTTCAATACTTTAATACAGCGTAACGTCCCTGAAGTTTCATGTGCATGATAAAAATTACCCACAGAGGCCTCTGTGTGTTTTTTTTTTCAACTTTCAGAGCATGATGGTGCTTGTAGACAATACATCACGTGACATATCCGAGGTTCTGCACAATGATCATAAATGTGTCCATTTTCTCAGTGCAAAAATAAATGTTTATGGCAACAGTGGAAAGATAATTGCATAAGGCCAAACAAAAATTAAGTTGTATTTCCCATTACCCTGAAAAATAAATAAGGGTGGTTGGTTGGGTAAAATATTTTTTTACTGAAAATTTTTATAGCCAAAAAATGAGGGTCGGATGATGGTCTATTTTTGGGGGGGGGGGTATATTTTTAACAGGTACTAAGTCAGTGTCAGATTTATACTGTACATGTGCATGTCAATATTACATATCAGCACTGTTACAGCTGGTTGTTGAAATACAAACACAAAAGACCCATCCATCATGGAAAAAAAAACATCAAAACAATACAATGTACGGGCGATGTACAGAAAATTAGGCTCAGGGCAAGGCACTGTAAGTTTTGTATTTCATTGATTTGACGAATAAAAAGATATAGGTTTTGTGTGATTTTCTAGGTTGGGTCGGGTAACCGGAAACACAGCTATTTTTTTCATTTGACCTAAGGAATTTTCCCTTCCTTTCACAAGGTCAAGCCCAGATAAATGGAACATTTTATCAGTAACCAGATGAAATGATTTTCACACTGCATGAATGTGAAAAAAATTGTTCCATGCAAAGCCCGAATGAATCTGTAAAAAATCCACTGCATTACCTATGAGTGTAGACATATTTTGTGACTGTGGATGGATGGAACTTTGGTCAATTCTTTCTTCGGCAGAATGGAACATTCCATTTTTGCAATGCAGCTGGACCATGCTTTAGGACAAAAAATCATGGCACAGGTATATTCAGACACTGCACAACGCAAGAAGGTGTTATTTTCCATGAAAGAACAAAGTGTTTGTGAAATGTCACGATTAAATGGAGAGAAGTATAACCAAAGAAGTTGCCATTTAAACTGAAAGAATGCTCTATTTTGAATGAGGAGGTTTGCTGTCTAAAGGAAACTTTCATTACCTGATAAATAAAACATAACTACATAACCGTTACATCTCTGTGATTCATCTGTCATACTTAGAGTATTATTTGTTAACCCTAACAGTCCCAAATCCTCCAATTTCAATACGATTTTACATACACCCTTGGGGTTCGGGTTAAATACATTTCTTGGGTGTAATGGTTTTTATTTCAAGTTAGTAAACCAAGTGGACAAATGAAATACACTCTACATCTCTACAGAGCTTTTGAATGAAATAAATTTTATGAGGATGCATTACCATCCAGGTTTGACTCGCGAATATTCCTCAGTTCTTAGCAAAACCAGAATGTTGAAAAATTAACATTTCTACCAGAATGCGTTCAATTCACAGTAAAGAAACTGCTCAAAGTCTGAGCAAAACATACTCTCTACGGTTTACTAGTTAAACAGAAATCATAACCCAGTAAAATAAACTTGTACTCATTATGAGGAACAGTCAACTCTAGTTATTAACAAGAGTGGTGGGACAAGCTAATAATTTCATATGTCATAACTGAAACCTGGTTTTTGTAGGGCTGGAAAACCGAACTGTTTCAACACCATCACTGTGCCATGGAATTTGATGACTGACAAGCTGCAAATATTACACAAGAAGGGGATAGTGGACCAGTCAAATAATTGCTCTTTCAGCAGAACTGTTGAGTACATGTACCTGCTCTATTCATCAGGGGTGTGAGAATTTAGCTTTTATCTGACTTCAGCTTTTCTGTGAGTAGATGTTGACCCTGAATTTCAGCTTTTTTGTACACCTTGTCTGCACAAAAGTATGGGAACTTTTTTACATTTCAGCTTTTTGCTAGCTGTTTTTAGCTTTAATTTTAAGGGGCCACTCACACCTCTTATTCATGGATGCAGAGTACCTGTAGACAAGCAATTTTTTTTTGAGAAAAATAGTTTTCTAAAAGTTGACAAAAAGGAATAAGTTTTCAACGTCATGTCAAAGAGGCCCCAGTCACCAGACAGAAAAATGAACGTGATTGGACAATACAGAGTGAATGAGCTTCAAATTCTATTTCTGATTGGCCAATGGTAGCTCATTGTTATTTATATGATTCATATTCTCAGTACAAGACAGGAACTTGTTCGTGGAAGAGAGTCCTTGAATTTTTCTGAAATTATCAATGTTGGTATTACATGTTTAACGCAAAGACTGGGGAACCTTAAATTTATCTTGTTACATGTATTGCTTCAACCATGTTATATGAATCTTTACTTTGAGCATCGACCACTCTTTTAGGAAAAAAATTGTTGAACTTAAAGACTTTTAAAGCATGATTGAAAATATGGTTTCTTTCCAATGATTCATGAACGCTTCACTCAAAAGGCTCACTGGTTAATTCTCAGTCAGTCTGGATCATTTCATCTTCCCTCGTGAGCTCATCCTGCGTGGGCGTGTCTCCGCCTCTTCTGCCCCATGGGAAGCTGAGGAGGTGCTGGCCAGAGCCCTGCGCTGGTCCCCCAGGGGTCTGGCTTCGGCGCCCCCAGGGGCACTGTTGATCCTTGTGCGTGGGGCGCGCTGAGCCCCCTGTCTGGGGGAGGTGATGTTCCATGTGCGGGGCTTCGGTGTCCTGTGTTTTGAACCAAACCAAGCCAAGCCAACTCTTTAGTGCGGCATCGATTTGGAGAAAATGGTGTTTTTTTGTTTCAAAGGTCCATGTCCAACGACAGCACTTAACCCTTTTTCACCGGGAAGCGGTAAGGGCCGCCGTAAAAAATGAGACCCTCTATTATTCTCGGCCCACGCTCGAGCGAACACGGTGAAAGAAGGCAGACCCTGGCTCTTGTATATATGGTGATAGGCCTTTGTGTGTTGCCAAGAAATGGAAAGGCCGAAATTGCATCATAATCACCACCTTCACAATAGTCCCCACTTTGAAAAGAGGCACGGGAAAGTGGAAGCGTGAGTAGAGCCTCATGCCACTGAACAATCAGCCTTTTCACTATGTAAATCAAAACGTGCAGAGCACGCAGGGCCACAAACCGAGAATTTGTGGTTTGGCAGGTGGCCTTAGTGGTCAAGCGAGGCTGGAATTCTCGGAGTCGGCTTTCAGAAAAAAATCCAGACATCAAGGGGTTAATACTTCTCAGTTTTTTTAATTACTTTCATAAGATACTTCAGTGCAATAACTTTTCTCCCAATGGGTTTTACAGTTTAAATCATATTCCTTGAGGAAGTCATATTTTGATCTTGTTCCCAGAATCTATTCGATCAATTACAAACTGTTGAATGGGATGGTTTTAGACTATTTTATGACTGGCGCACATTCCATGAAATGAACAAACATGTATAATTACAAAGTGGAAATTCTTCATCACAGTTGACACGATCGACATGTAATTCATCATGAAATGTCATTTTTGTGACTTTCTGTGACTCAAGTTCTCAAATTGCCGGAGTCCTTGGGTTTATACGCATAGCCGGGCTGCCTGAAATCGGACAAAAGAGCTGGGCCTTAACAAAAGATCGTACTTGAAACAAAAGACCGAGTTGCTGGGAATTGCCAACATTTTTTCAGTTGTCAATAGCGGAGAAAATCCGTCATTGGTTTGAATGATTATACCACTGTTTCTGGCATTCAGTGTGAGCGGATTACTAACAGGGACAAAAGTGCTCCAGTGACGAGCGATACAATGCCGCTGCATGCTAATCTGGCCCCTCTTGAAAAGATGCCAGCCACACACTGGGCCAGTTTTGGCAACAAAAGAAACTTACGCCGCACAATCTGGGCTCTTTTTACCAGCCGGCAGGCCTGGCTGAAATACTTGGGCATCTATAGATGTCTGTTAGATAAGAGTAGCCGCCAGACAGTCATTCATGTGGGTGTAAACGTCCAGTAAAAATGGCAAATCTTGAAAATCCTGCGGTTTTACGTCATGCAGCTTTAAATTAAACCTGGCAACAAGTGCTTAACCTTGATTTCAATTTCAATATGGCCAACTTGTGAGTGATGTCTACTGTCGTTTTGTTTTTCTAACAATACCTACACCATTAAAGCACATTCACATACAACTTGATGTTAAAGTACCTTCAATACCAAACTCTGAATTTTGGGTTACAAGTATATTTCGATCTGTAGTCCTGCATGTCTTTTAAAAGATTAAGATTTCATGTCAACAGAGTATTAAATGTGATCTTGTTACACCACATGATGCGGAACATTCTTTGACCTTCGATCAGTCTTTAAAGGCAAACCTTCTGTTCTGATTGGTAAGATTTTGAATGTGAAATTCTTGATTATGCCAAGCATAGGTACTTCATGGTTCACAGGTGCTTTTCTCTTCAAAAGGCACTGCAGGGTTAATGGAAATTTGAAAACCAAATGCCATCACTTTTCCAGGACAAAACATTTGGCAATTTCAATGACGATTCAGGCCATTTTGCAGAGGGAAGTTGTTTGGTAAGAATTGGAAGAGTGCCATAGCCATTACCACAGACTGACAAAAGGACAGTCTGTAAGTTTAGCACATTAAAAGCGGACCATCAAACATAACCTGACATGATCTTGATTCCCACGACTATTCCACAAATTTGTTTTCTGTGACAACAGAATTCAAGTACACCCTCTGTTTTTCAAATATATCCTCTTTTTTTTTCAAATTGTCCATGACTTTTCCCATGATTTTCAAAGACAACTTTTTTTTTCTGGATTCTTTGGGATAATCCATAACCAAAGGAACCCTACAATGGTACAATTGATTGACTTACGGTTGCTCAGGGGACAGCATGACCAGTAAATCTTTTTTATTCTCCAACTCCAGCTGAGGAGTCCAACTCGCTGTGCCAACGACTAGAAAAAAAAAATACAGAAACCTCCTTAACAGATGTGCGTACAGTGTGTGAGACTACATGTGGGCCAACAAATGATCGGACAAAATGTGCCAGCACCATCCTTTCTGCTCTGCCCTGATCGGCTTTTGATCAGAAACATGGAGAGCACACCAGGCCACAAGAGAACACACTCTCCCTATCACAAAATGTCACAAACACAAAACCAGGGTAAATATACGAACAGGATTTGCTTTTTTTTGGACACATCTGCTTTCGGTTTGACAAGTACCAAAAGTGGTTGGGTGATGGCTGATGCCTGACTGCAGTTTCACGCTCTGCATGTTTGTAGATTCCGCAACTGCGGTGGTTTCTAACTTGGCAGCTATTCAAGCGACTCCAATTTGGAACACCACCTTCCTGATTCATCCTTGTCGGGGGTAACTTTTTGCTGTCCGCCCCGAGCAGAAAAGAGGCATGTTGGTTGGGAGTGTTCATTATGTTGGTGGCGCTGCCACTGCAACGCTTGCGTTTCTGTGTTGTTTGTGAACCAGCCATGCTCGGGTACCACCAATGGAGCCTCCGTTGCTAAGAAAGGTGCACCCTCTTTCAATTCAGCTCGGGGCCCATTAACTATCAGAGAATCTGCTTAGTTATTCCTCATCAGTGAGGACGAGACAGAGCGGTGGGAATCATTTTGGCAAAGTGACCAGCACAAACATGAATGCCATACGTTTCAACATAAATGGGCCACATGTGCGTGGTGCGTCAGTGCCAAACACGTAAAACCCTAACTGGGCTCACAGCAAGTTCCCCAATTGTCTGGGTTAGCTTATCCGGTAGGATTTCAGTAAAGGAGATGAATGCAGCAACGACACTCCAATATAGCAGCCTCCTGCCCCCCAAGAAAGACTCACCCTTTTTCAGGTCGACATCGCCGAGGACCCTGATGGGAAGGGAACTGGGGATGGGAGAGGGTGACTGGGGGATGAGGCTGAGATCCATGGGTGCTTGGAAGGTGATGTTAGCAATGGTCTGATCAGGGGTACTGATGGCGCGGCTTCTCAATCCACGACGAAGCGGAGTCTACGGAAAGCATATTCAGACCGATGATAAATCATCAAGCAATTTACATGACTGTTCCAATTTACTTCAGGATTTACATTTAAGCAGGACTGTGAGATATATGATTATCAGAGGGGACCAATTCATGTACCCCTATACAAAGTGAAGCGATTGTGGCAGAGCAGCCAGATCAAGGACACCGGCAGGGTTCAAACCCACGTGTAAGCAAGAAATGGATGTGACGCATCAGGAATTGGACAGTAACATTGTGCAATAGGGAGAAACAGTCAACACCGGTGTGAGCTTCAGTAGCTCCGTTTTCCTATGATCATCGCAGCATAGCCACTCTGCATTTTATATGGCAAAGCTGTCTAAAAATGGCTCCTCAAATCAGCACAGCGGGAAACATGGCGTGTGTGGAGCATTCACCCAAGAGACAAGGAAATGGTCCAGTGCCAAACAGAGGTGGTCAACGAACATCAACAACAATTTAAACTTTGAAAAGTTTCCTTGCGTTGATGCTTTCTCATCCTCAAACATTAAAATCAAGAAGTCAATTTAAACCATTTTGTTTTCTACTGACAAGCCATGTTACTCACCTTGTTCTGGGCAGTGGATTGCTTTTCCTTTAAGGGAGATCGCTCCTGGGATTCCACAGTGACTGGGTCTGAACGCTGGACTTCATCTGCTCGCTGGCGACTTCCTGTCACTGGAGGGCAGCGCTTAGCCGATGCGATGGCCCTCCGGGCCGAGTTGACGATAGCTTGGGCAGCCAGGGAGATCGGCCTTTGGGAGAAACAAATTATTTCAAGACAAATCCTAATATTTGACCCACCAAAACAAATTTTGAAAAGGCACTGGGTATTTAGTGGATGACCAAAATTTCAGTGATCCCTGTTCACCACTTCCCAGGTTGTATTGTGCTATTGGGGTGGGATCCCTGGCTACATGGTGTTTCAGGTTTAATGGCTTCTGGCTAGCGCCCCCCCGAACAGAGATATTGACCAATGGGAAGAGCCACCAACGTAGGGCTGGATAGTTCAGTTGGTAGAGCACTGGTACAGTGTTCCAGAGGTCGCAGGTTCAAATCCCTCTCCTGTCAATTTCTTTGCTCGTCTTTATGAACAAAATTTTGCCAGACACATACGAAGTACTTTATTTGGGGGGGGGGGGCTTAAAATTCTTACAGGGACAAATCTTAGTCTAATTCTGCACCAATATAGTCGTGACTTTGCATTCATGAAGTGGGGATCAGGCCATTTACAATTTCCCTTAGAGAAATCCTTCAAATCGAAAGTCCTCCAGAGCCAAGAATCAGAACAAGAAAATGCAATATTCCGTAGTCAAATGTTAAAGTCACTTTGAAAACAACATAAGAACAAAATTCTTAATTTTTGCCCAGGGATGAAAGGAAAGGATCAAATTCAGCTGAGAGCGTAACATGTGAGCTCAAGACATGCACGCAATCCACTGGACCGACGACCCTACTTGGAACTTGGAAGGACTTTAATAACCTTTGTAAGTTTACATTCGTGGATATGCATCAAAGAGGGTGCTGCCTACTTGTAGGCAGCAAAATACCATTTAATTAAATTTGCTGGTGATGGTTAAACATCCACTGCCTTTTGAAAAACCTGTTTCTTAAATGGCACCTTTGATTAATTTGCCTAATATCAAAACAACCATCTTCTCCTGCAAAATGTTCTGAGATCTGAATTTTTTTTCTTTGGATATGGTCTTACCTGTTGGCCCTGATGGGCGTAGCCAACCCGCCCTCTTGGATGCCCATGTCATTGGTTCCCGGTGCGCCCTCATTAGAGTCTTGGGGCGCGGCACTGGGCGTGGCTTTGGGCGTGGCCCCATTCACAGCACCCGCCCCCCATGGGGTGCGGATGATTCTTGGAGAACAGTTGGCGACAGCTCTGGGGGAAAGTACGGCAGGCAAGCCAGCAGACTGAGGATAAAATGGAACCGTGAGAGTTTCTAAGAATTGCTCACTCTAGACTATACATGCATTTCTGCACTTTGAGAAGCATGCATGCCTTACAAAAACTGTCCTTTTTGTTGCATAAACATTTAGATTACGAGTACATTTGGTACATATGCACAGACCTTTAAAATCTAATCATGGGTAAAATCTTTTGGCGTAATGTTTCACAATAAAACTATGACAAGCGCAAGTTCGATCAGGGACAATTTGTTAACCACTGGTCGATTTTGCCTGGTGCCCGGTATGTATATGTATAATTGTTTGGTTAACAATTTGTCACTGATCCAACTTGCTCGTATTTCGACTGCCTACATGTATGCACAATGTAAGGGCAACACCAGGGCCCAATTTTACGGCGCTGCTAAGCAAACAACTTCATGCTTACAGAGGCTTACTGTGTTTCAGAGACTGTATGCCGTAAGCAAAGCACAAGGCACTTTCACCTTGGAAAACAAATGTGCTTTAACATAGCGACATATCAATGGAAATCTCCATGCGCGCACCTGCAATTTAGTGACCGTAAACGATTCACTATAAAATACACTGACCAGTAAGCAAATTTTTGTGCTGGGCTAAGCAAATGTTTGTGCTGGGTTAAGTAAGAAGCACCATGAAACTGGACTCTGGTAGCGATAAAAATGAAAGCTGAGCGCTTTGTTTGGAACAGAAAACATGTCTGACAGTGTTATAGAGAGTCAGTGGCACGGACCATAAAATATCTGATCTGGACATAGCTTGACACAAAAAATGGCAGACCCAAACCACAACTGATAGTGGGAGATGCTGCATTCGGTGTCCACTTTAACAACTATTTAGTCCCTTCACACCAGGAGACATCGACAGCCGCGGTTTTAAGTGAGGATTGGTGCATACCGCACATACATTCTATTCATCATGCACCTGCGGTTTCAATGTGGGCATGCTGCTGGACAAGGCTTTGCATACTGAGCATACCGCAGCCCAGTAGTCGCAGTCAAAAGAGTCCCGACGTTAAGGGGTCAATGAAGACTAATAACCTTTAAGGAAAACCAAACAATTTCAAAGAATTCCAACAAGAGCAAATTGACAGACAAAAATTGGTTTGTGATATTTCTTATTTTTTTCACATATTTCAGGACAAATTCCAGATCTCGTTTACATGTACCTGTTGAGGGGAGGCGAGGGGTGTGGCCTGCTTGCTTCTGGGTGTAGCAGGTCTGCTTCCCGGACGAGAAGTTGCCAGGGCAACCAAGGCTGCCTGCTGTTTCTTGGCAGCCTCTGCCTGCTCCTCCTCGAACCGTCTCAGGTCAAACTCAATCTCCGTTGCCAGCTGCCGGTCAGCAGCCAAGATGTCTGAGAGACAATCAAATGAGATTAGATTAACCATCGCCATTCCCAAACCGACAGAGAGGTTTGGGAATCCTATGTACTATGTACTTCCGATGTACTGGAAGTGAAACACTCTCTTTGCATGTGCAGTTTCTCAGGGAACCAGTGGCAGGGTTCCTGCACCTAGGGGACAAATAAATTCCATGACTTTTCCAGGCCTGGAAAACAAAAACAAAAATTTCCATGACTTTTCCATGACCAAATTATGAACATCCATGACCGTATCACACAATTTCTCGGACTATCCAGACTTTTCAAGTTGCGAATAAAATCATGCATTTTATGCACTTATATCTAAAATCACACACTGTATTTGAAAAAAATTCCATGACTTTAGTAGTCATTTTTACAAAATGCCATGACTTTAATAGTCATTTTTACAAAATGCCATGACTTTAATAGTCATTTTTACAAAATGCCATGACTTTAATAGTCATTTTTACAAAATTCCATGACTTTAATAGTCATTTTTA